AGGCCTGTGAGTCGTTGGCTATGGAGTAGGGGTCCTAGAAATCTTCCTTTTAATACACACCCATGTTGATCTAAAGCAAATGATATGAAGATCATATGAAAAATGGAGGATTAAAGGCTGATTTTCTGGAGAGGGGTGTGGGGCAGGTTCTTGGCACTCTGAATTGATGGATACATACTTCTTTTTTGTGGAATCTGCCTCTTCATTTGTGGGGAAGGAGTTCACCCACTTTTTTCTTTCTTCCCCACATGCCTTTGTCTTTGGCCTGAGAAAGGTGACCTTGACTCAGTTGAGTGTTGCTGGAATGGCCCTGTTGCAAGCTGCTCCCCAAGGATCACCAGTATTACCTGTCGGTAAGACAGAGCTGGCCAGTATGCTGCTCACTGAGGGAGAACACGGCCACACAAAGCTGTGGCAGTGTCTTAGCAGCTGCAGGTCTGTTGGTCAGGGTTCAGTGAGAGATGCAGAAGCAGTAGGAGAAATATGCTAGGAGACTTACTGCAAGAACTTGGCTTACGTGGCTAGCTAGGCAAGTCTGAAATCTGCAGGGCAGGCCTTCAGGACGGGTAGGCTGGAACTCTGGGATGAGCACTGAATCTGCTATTTGCTGGTAGAATTTCTTGCTTTTCAGAGAGCCCTCAGATTTTAAGGCCTTTCAGTTTATAGAATCAAGCCCACCCAGATTATCTGGGATAATCTCTCTTACTTAAAGTTAACTAATTATTGAGTTTAATCACATCTGCAAAATACCTTCACAGTAACACCTAGATTAGTTTTGATTGAATAACTGAGGACTGTAGCCTAGTCAAATTGACACATCAAAAGACCATCACATTTTAAGGTCAAAATTTATTGAGAACTGGAAGTTTGATTTAGGCTAGATTTTCAAGGCATGTATGGGTCATGATACCATAGTCCAGGATTGGTGTTAGCTGCAGAGAATTTCAAATTGAGAGATTCAAAGAGTCTTAGGATGAAAACAACTGATGTTTTCCACTTAAGAGTTTATAAGTTTCTCAGGAAGTCCCTTTAATGAGCAGTCATAGCTTTTGCCCACACAGAAGGCTTCTGGAAATCAAAGTCATGCCAATGAAGACAGCGGAGCACAAAGGCCTGTTACTCTAGACAGCATGGTTTGGACACTTGAATATGGGGGTAGGGTAGATACTTTCTCTTCTCAGCCCAGATGCGTGACATTCCTTTTTATTGAAGAAGGATGCATTGCTTTTGTTCCCAGAGCATGTGCCCTGCGATTCTCCTTATTATTTAACAGAACAGAAGCATTAAGCACAGAGATGGCTGCATACTACCCAACGGGCTACTTCAGAGAGGACACACTCACGAACAGTAAATCAGAGCTGGAATTTCACCCCACTGACTCCTGCCTCCCCTTCCTGAAATGGCTAAAGGTCTACCATTTAAGTGTCATTCACATCTTTCTCTTCTGTGCATCCTAGGCTCTAAGTGACAACACAGGACTTTTTTCTGTTCTTGGAGGATGTAGTGTCCTTTGAGATGTGCTGTTTTTTTTCCTCCTGGGATATCCTTGCTTTTAGATTAGAGGGCCTTCTTGAATGTCACCTCCACTAAAGAACTTTTCTAAACACCCTTTTTCTCTCTTCTTCCTGTGACACATATGTGCTTTTACAGAACTGGTAACCCACAGTATGGGTCCACAGTGCTCTCATGGTACAGGTATAACTTGTCAGTCTGCTCACTTTTTTGAATCCCGAGAGGAATTTAGGCAATAAGAGTTAAATCTTTTTTAACTTTGTATTTGATCCCCCTGTCTTATCTATGGCCAGGCATACAGTAGATTTAGCCATTTATTTAACAAATACTTATTAATCGCCAGCCATGTGCCAGGCCACACACATTCACTATTCTAGGTAGGAGTGATATTGTGGTTATAAAATATCTAGTCTCATGGACATGACATTCTGAAGGTGAGGGGAGATAGCTAATGAACAAGATAAGTAAGTAAAATCTCTCTCTCTTGCACACACACGTATAACTTACTGAGTGTATGGAGGACTGCATCAAGGAATGTCCCTCCAAAACAGGTACAGAGGCCCAAGTATCAAAAAAAGTGCTAGGTTCCCAGCCTTTGATGTGAGGCACACTGTGTGACAAGAGCTGCTTCACTATTTTGGTCTGCTGTTGGAAGAGGCATACGTTCGCTAGTGTTTGTCATTCTGCTGGGTCTGTGCTACTGATGCTGGGTCTTAGACTTAGGATAACATAGATCACACTATTATTTTTATTTAACTGGATCCCATATAAAGATTAGCTAAAAACAAGTAAGGGTATGTAGCTGTGTACATTTTGGGCTTAAGAATAAAGAGTGAACTTAATTTTTTTGTTTACAATGTGCCAGGCACTGTTCTAAGGGCTTTAAATGGATTATTTCAGTTAATCCTCAGAACAACCTTAGGAGATAACACTTTTCATTTTACATGTGAAGAAGCTGGCATAAAGGGCAGCTATGTCACTTGTACCAGATTCCCCAGGTCAGAAGTGAAATGTGGTCCCATCTAGACTGTCCAGCTGGTGACCCTGCTCTTAAGGGATAGAATTTATGAAATCAGAGCAAATACAAGACTTTCCCTTTGTTAATAACCAAGCTGACGTTCCATGTTCGTCATTCCTTAGGGAGCAAAAGGTGTCATCCACCCAGGGTAGAAGAAGTGTGCTCCAGCTGGTTTCCTGAAAGAAGACAGACTGAAGCAGAGGCCCGCCCTTGCCTTTCTCTTTGAATTTCAGCTTCCTTCCAGTCAGGACCATACGTTTTTAATGCATATTTAGTAGTTTATCTACTTACCTTCTTTTACTTCAAAATATGAAACACTTGAGTTAAAACATTTTTTTCAGGGCAAAGGAAAAGAGAGAAAGAAAGCAAATGAACAGCTAACTGCGAAGGCTTAGACAGAAGGGGTGGGACCTGCTCTGTAACAGAGGCCATCTCTCTCGTTACTGAGCCAGTTCTAGGCTAGGCACAGTGAATATACCACCTCTAGTTCTTACTACATTCTTTAAGCAATGACTTGTTCTCATTTTAGGGAAGAGAAAACTTAGATCAGAGTGGTTAATCAGGCTTGCACCGAGCGCACACAGCTGATGCACGGCAGAGCGGAAACTTGAACCCAGCGAGATCTGTCAGTGGTTTTCATACTGTTCTCGTTTTAAACAAACAACCCTCAAGACTCACCCTTCAAAGAACTCGAATTTGGATCCCAGGATGTCAGGAGTCCGTATTTCAGGTGTCAACATGGGTGCCTGGAGGCCAGCTGCTTAATTTCACCTGCATCGTGCTCCCAGCCAGTTCCTGCACCCTGTAGGCGTCACGGGCAGCCGGGCATCAGCAGAGCATTTGTTCCCACCACTCTTACTTCTTTGCTCTCAGGAATGTTGACTTCTCTCTCTGAGCCTTGTTCTCCATAGTAACTAATGAAGGGGCTATTTCAGTTTTTCATCTTCTGACTCTTTTATTTATCAATTCATTTAGAACCTGAGCAGGAAGGAGGCACGCTATGTATTTGGCTTCCTTAATATTCTGTAATTAGTATCTACTGTCTTCTCTACCATTCTCAGAGTCATAGAATTTTGGAGTTGAAAGGAGCTTTTTTAAATGACTGAAAGTCATTTCACGCTCTCCTATCTGAGTGTGCCCGCCAGGTAGCCACTCAGCCCTTGCCCGCATACTGCCGGGAATGTGTGCTTGCTCTCCAGAGGCAGCTGGGTGTCTGGCTGGGATGCTCTAGTTAGGGCCGCAATTGCCTGAGGAGAGCTTGGACCCAACAATGTTGGGCTTTCAGACCTCCCTGCATTTAGTTTTAGGGCTTTAGGGTTCATATTAGGGTTTTTGGAGAGAGAGATTTGGTCTTAAGTCTGTTCCCTTTCAGGTGTGACTCCCACAAGGCCACCTCCTGAAAGCTGAGGGTGGTGCATACTCTGGTGGCAGAAAATAAAATTGCCAGTGAAATACTTCCAATGTCAAACATGCTAAATGACAGAACACTCACTTCATCTGTACTTGCCAACTGGAGACAGACTGATTTGAGATCTGCTTATTTTTGTTATTTTTTTCTTGAATTTAAGGCAACATGCAGTCGGAGCCAGCAAACATTAAGAAACCAAGCTCCTTAATAATCTTTAAAAAAATAATAATTTTATTGAGTTATAATTCACATTCTCTAAAATTCCCCTTTTTAAAGTGTTTGATTCAGTGTTTTTTTAGTGTATTCATAGATTTGTGAAGCCGTTACAAAAGACAATTTTGGAATATTTCTATCACCCTGAAAAGAAACCCATTAGCATTCACTTGCCATCCCTCCTCCTGCTGGAAAACCATTAATCTGTTTCCTGTCTCTTGGGAGATGCTTATTCTGGACATTTCATATGAATGGAATCATAAAAATATATGGCCTCTGTTTCTAGATTCTTCTACTTAGTGTAGTGTGGTCAAGGTTCATCCATGTTATAGCATGTATCATTTCTTTTCATGGCCTAATAATATTCTATTGAATGGATATACCACATTTTGTTTATCCATTTGTCAGTAGATGGACATTTGGATTGTTTCCACTTTTTGGTTATGAATAATGTTTCTGTGCATACTCGTGTATAAGATTTTGTGTGGATATATGTTTCAGTTCTCTTAAGGTATATGTAAGAGTAGAATTGCTAGGTCATATTCCCTTAATAACCTTTTCTAAACTGCTTTTGTTGTTTCCTTTTCTTGGGCCCCATATTCATATTCTTTAGATTAATGTTCACTTCCTCTGTGCTGAATGCTGTCTGTGACTTGATATTAAGTTAACACTTCTAGGACCCAGTTTATATTTCTATGTAGAAGTAATTAAAAATCACTTGAGTGAGAATAAACTGAATCATAGGAATGCTTATTGTATAGAGTCTGTACTAGATTTCCATGGTCTTTGTTCTTTTCTTTACCAAGCTTCTACTTAATGACTTACAAAGATTTTTTTTCCCTTTTCCAGAATCGCAATGAAATAAAGAATGGCACTATCCTTCGATTAACCACATCTCCGGTAAGTTGATCTTAGTTTCCTGCTCTCCAGTAAATGCCCTAGTATCCAGTTTCACTATATGTAGTTATGGGATACTACTTTTTGAGGATGACTTTAGTGCAAAACAAAAGGTCCTTGGAATGCCTACACATGCAGACTCTGGATTAGCAGGAATGCTCCTCCTTTTATTTCCCATTACAGAGGAGGAAGATTTTGTTCCAGGTTAAGTGCAAGTAAGTTGACTTCAAGTTTGAGTTTGGTGGTCATCTCAACAATTCTCATATTACAGATGGAATAACCCAGCTACACTGATTGATTAATTTTACCCACCTGCTCACACATGCACCTAATGCCATCTGAAGAAATTCAGACAACAAACAATGCAAATAAACCAAAAACAGGTTATCACTTCCCCTTACACTCAGAGGATGTGTGTAGGGTTATGTGTATGTGTCCCTGTATCAAGCAGAGAGTATTTAAGCATTTTCTCGCTTTAGTCAATTATTGTGACAATTCATGTAAATATAGTTTGAGAAATATTTGTCACTTATGTTATTTCATTGACAGCTGATTCTAGATAAAACACTTTGAAGTTTTTCAAATAAAAGCTGCTAGACAAAAATGCTACAGAATATTTGGATTACTGTAGCTGCCTTTGTTGCCTATCTTGATCTTTCTTCCTTGCTTGCAGATTCTTTGGGTAGTAACATTAGCATATTTAAAGTATATTATTTCACAGTGCATCTTATTGCTTTCCTAAAAAAAAATCTGCACAAAATACCCCAAATGCTACTATTTTCACTCTGCATCTGTGATGAAAACTGTGTCTAATTCTCATTTTCAGTTTTCACTGAAGCCATGTGTTACGCTAAAAATAAACTTAAAAATTGGGAAAAACATCTGGCTAAAATTAAATTGTGGGTATTGTAACTACTACAAATTCTTCGTGTTGAAATTACGTTAGAGAAGCTTAAAAACTCCTAAACATTTTACCCAATAACATCTTGAACCTAAATACAGTGAGGAGCTCATGAGAACACATGGCTGAAGTTGGCTGAACTGTGTCTTTCTGGGCCTTCTTTTCTACTTAATGGGATTCATAATTTCTACTCATTTTTCAGTGATTACATGATGAGCTAAGACTTTTTTGTCTGACTTAGCACTGTTCTTACTTTAGTCAGCAGGAATTATAGTTAATTTGACCTTTAGAGACCATGGTTTCATTTGGCTTTTGTAGTCACTATTTATCCTGCTTAAATTATTCATCTGCTTGCTGGGCAAAAGAGTACACCTTGCTGTTTGCTTCATCTTAGGAATTGGAAAGGCTCTTTTTTTGTTTTTTTGTTTTTGTTTTTTTAACCTAGGCAGTCTGTAAACCAAAGAAGATATGTCTATGTGTACATAGATCTAACTATCTATCTAATATTTATCCTGGCAGGTAAAGCCAGGATAAATTCATGTCTATATCTGTGCCTTTAACCTAGGCCTCTGTAAGCCTAGGCCTTCTGTATGTCAAAGTTACTGCCATTGGCTCATGCATCAAATTTCTGCAATGCTAAGCCACTCCTTGAAAGAAGGCTGACTATCTGGTAGGGGGAAGTTTTTCAGCATCCCCAAAAGTGAACATGCCAACACCGTGGCATAACTGGGTGTCATCAGGGCCAATGGAGTGTGTGCTTTTCAGGTAATGACCTTCACGTTCCCTACATGGTGAACAGAAAGACATGAAAGCCAGTGAAAGCACAAGGCAATATGATAAGGTGGCATCTACTTGCAAGAGACTGGGTTATACTTTCTAAAGAGCAGTGGTCCCCAAACCTGAGTCACTGGTGGAACTTTAAAAATGCTCATGTCTGGGCCTTCAAAGCAAAGCTGAGTCATGATGTCTGCATTTTAAGCAAGCTCCTTACGGTTTGATTGTAGTCTCGGTCTAGAATAGAGCATTACTCTATAGGCAAGATATTTTGGCTCAGTAAACTTCACTTGTTGATAGTGGATTATTTTGTATTATTTTGTGTTTAACTGAAAAATTTGGGTCAGCATATGCTAACTCGTTCACTTTTTACATACACACAAAAAATATGTTAACAAAAAAACCTCTCTCCACCAGATTTGCCAGAAAGTGTTAAAGTACCGTAAAGAAACCAGCCAACGGTGCTTCACGAGCTTTTACAGTCCCTTCATTTGCCTCAGCTGCACTCTCTGTAGCCAGACAAGAATGCACACACCTCTCCCGATGGCTCCATGCCACAATACCACACGCTCCCATAATGTGCAGCTGTGCTGAGTTTCACCTCCATTTGATTAGTGGTGGGATTTTTGTTGATTTTTGTTGATGAATCTATTTTCTGTCCTACTCTGTCATAGAACACCCTATCTGGGCATTACTAAGATATAAAAAAACAACCTGCATTGGTATTCTTGTGAAAACACACATGGCTGGTGGTCCTTCCCCACATTACACATCTTTACACAATAACTCTACTGGCATCTTAAACATGTGTGTCTTTCAGGCATCGTATCTTTATCCATCTCCCTTGTATCATGAAAATATGGCCAGAGACATACCCAGAGAATGTGGGCAGATGTGTGTGTGTGCCTGAACAGTTCAGGGTCTAGAGAGCTTCCGATTGTTCAGCTACAATGTTTCCTTTTACCTGCCAGGATAACAATAGCTGTGAAAACCCAATCTGAGGTTAGGTGCTACATGAAGCCTATTTTAAATAAATTTTGGCCACTGTTCCTTTTGGAAGAAGCTTGGGTTGCCAGACCATTGTTTTTAGTTCCCTGAAATTTTTGTTTTAAAAAGTCCTTACAATGAATATATTTTGTAGTCTTAGTGCATGGACAGCCTCTCTGGGTAGGGCATAAAACCCAGAAACCATTAAGAAAAAGATCAATAAATTTGACTACCAAAAAATAAAAACAACCCCACCAAAGCTTTATGTTTGGAAAGAATTCCAGAAGCAACGTCAAAACAGAAAATTAGGAAAAACAATTGGCAATCTGCATGATAATTAGAGGGCTAATTCCTGTTTGCAGGATCCCTGTATGAATAAATAAACTACCCCCAGAACAGATGGCCAAAAGCTATGAACAAAAGTGAGCTATATAGCTATCTCTACTGTTTTCTGTATCTATATGTAATAACTAATATATAGAGAGATATTATATTATCTAATATATATAGATATTATCCTGGCAGGTAGAGACAGAATAAATGCATATCTATATCTGTAGAGAGAGAGAGACATAAATATCTATAGATATATATCTATACATCTAAATATATCTATAGCTTTATATAGATCTAGATGTATGTGAAAGAAGAAATTCAATCTTTTCTCTTAAAAGAGCAGAAAATCTGTACTCCTAGATAATTAAGGTGTAGGGCAAAGATGCTATGGTGTCTAGAAAATAAATTGGTGCAGACTTTTTGGATGGTAATTTAACTCTACCCAAATTTTAAATACATATGTCTGTGTCCTGACAATTTTTTGGGGGGGAATTTATCCAATGGACTCATAAAAGCACTGCAGGGCTAACACACACAAACACACACAGGAACTCCACACACATGCACACAAGGCTTCCACATCATTGTTTTTAGTAATCACAAACTGGAAACCTCTGAGATATCTATCAGTTGGTACTAGTTAATTGCATTAAATAATATCCATGTGATAGAATACTGTGCAGCCATTAAAAAGAATGTGGTCTGTGCTGCCTCGAAGACATCTGTAAAGTCTATTATTAAGTGCAAAAGCACGTTGCAGAAAACTGTGTATAGAATGAGCCCCAGTTATGTACATGGAAAGGTGTATATATACTAAATAAAGGATAAAAATAATTTTTAAGAGTTAACACAAGAAACTGTTACCATTGGCTTAACTTTATTTTTTATTTCATAACTTCTGATAGCACTTATGTATTTCATCCTATACCATATGTTGGTATTATTTTTGACTCAATAAGTGTAAAAATAAATATCGTAAGGTCACTGTAGTACATAAGAGGTGAATCATATCCAAACTATTAGATTTTTAAGAGCCCTTTTTTATATGACCTGAATTCTTCTTGCTCATTTTTCCTCATTTTGGCCTGTGTGGACATAGTAAATAAACTTGCTTATCAAGTATCTGCTGTTTTGTCAGCTTTAAGCATAATCCTCCCTTTCTACTCTCTCTTGGTTAGGGAACCGAGATTAGAAGCATTAGAATGTCAGAGGGCCTGCCACACTGATTTTTGGGGCTAGTTACTTGACCAAAGAAAGGTATTATCTCAGTTACTTTGTGGATTCAGGTTATGAGAGATTTTTAATAATAAGACCATGAACAATTTTAAACAAATCTTTGTCTGCTGATTTGACAAACTGAAAAAGGGTTGTAAAATGTCCTAAGTCCTATTTGTTGCCATTGTTCTGTGAGCCTAACTTAGAGAAAAGCCAGCAAAGGCTTTTAGGCAGGGGAGTGACATAATCACTGGCTGCTGCCCAAGAACAGACTGCAGAGGTGGCAAGGGGACAGGTCCGGGATTTACTACAGCCATCTGGCAGGCGGTGAACACGGGGTGGGCTGCCTGCATCGCAGGGGTGATGGAGGGTCTGAGGGCGTGACGTGGAGGGCAAGTCCCCAGGACTTCCTGATGCTTTGGCTGTGCTGCTCCTCGAGGGAGGATTCGAGGATGTCCCTGGTATCTGGACAAGGTAAACAGTGGTGCTGTTTACTGACATAGAAGATTTGGGGAGGGGAAAGTGAAGAGTTCGAGATGCCTGTTATGTGTCCATGAGGACTGCCAGCTAGGCAGTTAGGAATGTGTGTCAGGCAGCCTGGAGAGTACCAGGGTGCCAGCCACCACCAGAGACACAGCATGGGAAGCATAGCTTGGATGAAGTTGCCATGGGTAAGGTAGAGCCCTGGGTACCCTCCGGTTTAGAGGAGATGCTGGCCAGGAGGCCAGGAGAAGAAAGTGTTTCTAGGAGGAAGGCCCACTTAGGTGTGTTGAAGATGACTGAGACAGGG